AACCGCTGACCTTAAGGTTCGCAGCCCGATTCGTAACCACTACGCTACCAGAGCTCCTTAGACATAAACATACAGTTTCTATTTTAAAAGGGAGTATACCTTATATTAAAATGAAAGATTTTAAATTTCCAACTGGTTTGTATTTATAAATGAAGATAACAGGACATGCTCAAAAAAAAAAAAAAAAAAGCCATGTTGAAAAGTCCATTGTGCTGATAAGTTCCTTTAAACTGCCATCTTGGAAATATCCTGTTGAGTGGGTGTTGGTAACAATAACGTTGTTTTCATAATATGTGCTGGCAGATTAGCACACTCCTCTACAGTGTTAACAGTTGTAATTAAGAAATAAACAGCACAGGGTGTCAGTCCGATGACAATTTCATCTATAGTGTCATAATACTAAGTGTCACAAAATATTCAAACTGTTATATAACTATAAAAAGTATCAACTTAAAAGCCTTTTAAAGGGAAGGAAGCAACAAGAAAACTGGCATAGGGAACAAAAACAAGGGTACCTTCTCAAGAATGTTTTGTCATAAAGATAAACTGATATCCGCGCCCCCCAAATACATTACAGTCTGATTTCTCCCCATCCAGTGAATTTAACAAGAGAATGCAGATCCCCCTGCCGTAACTGCTTTGAATTGGTAAACAGATTTAGATGCAGTAGAAAGGAACATGAGGAAGTGATGATGTTGTTTTGTTTTTTGTTTTGTTTTTAACATCCAATCTTCCTCAGCATATGCACAGGAGAAGGTGAATGCAGAATGTGAAACTTATTTCTCTTTAGTCAAGTGGGAGGAAAAAAAAAAAAAAGCCTACCATTTGTTGAGATGGTAAAATATTGTATCAAGCAAGTAGGCACATTCCAGAATTAAATTTTGGTTGATACATTAATGTCCTCAAATATTTGGGCATACACTCTCTTTCAGATTTGTAAAGGAAACTACCAGCAGGTTAGATTAAAATACAAAATGAATGGCAATTTAGCCATCTCAGAAGAGGTTGGGTTTTCCCCTCCCATAAATTTATGAATTTGCTAAATAGTTAAAAAGAAACACATACGTTTAATATACTCTAGGTTACGATTTGGAACAGAAGCAAAGTTATTTCCACACTTCAGCTGTACCATTTTCCCATTTCTATTTAACAGCTCAAAGACTCCCATAGTTGACTCCTTCCTGCTCCCTTAAAGACCCTTTCCCCCCCTCCTTGTGGACTGTAACAGATTGCACCACATGGTGTAGGTTCAAAACAATTTTTTTCTTATCCATGGGGACCTGGACACCCTACTATAAGACTTTATATCCCTCATGGTAAATTAGCCGCAAATAGGAATTTTCAAATATTGCTCTCCATGAGAAAGAGATTCCCCTCTATCATACATTATATAACATATGCTTTTGTTCATGACTAATAAAAATTAGACAAGAAAAAAAAAATGTCTTCTACTCATAGTTTTCCACCTAATTCAATGTCCTTATCATACACTGGTGTGGCACTGTGGGTTGGTTTCAACCTCAATGTCTGTGGTTCAAGTTCACCAGTCACTCCTTAGAAACTCTATACAAGGTCCCTGTAGGTCAGAACTGATTTGGCTGCACTTAACAACAACATCATATACTGAAATGTACCTAATGTTCTCCATAAATACTATGAATTTATGTGTCGGGTTTTTTAGAAGATTAAAGTTTTCAAATTAAAGGTCGTTCCAAGAACTTGCAAATGCATAAACATATAAAGCTCATTTTCTGCTGAAACATTTGTGGTATATGAGATTACTAAATTATAAAATGCTAATGATCAGAAGGAACTGCAGCTTTTCTCCAAACTTGCAAAGATACATTTGAAATACGAAGGAAAAGGCACCTGATATGACGTTGGTCTTGTCTGTAAGGAGCAGATTACAAGTCAACTGGACTCCATTTTTCTCCACTTTATACACAAGTTCTTTTAACTTGTCAGTTTAAGGCTTGAGGATAATAATCCAACTTTGGCCACTTGAGCTTCTCTGCCTCAATACCCTTTTACCCTACAAAAAAATAGTACAGTAAGTCCTAAGTTATGATTATTAGACTTCTGGACAACTCACATTTGCCCTTTATTGTTATGTAAATTTGCCCTAACTTTGAAATGATTGAACCAACTTTCAATCCTTGCTCTCAACAGTTTCATTACAATCCCCTTCACTTGTGCATGCAGCGTTTAAACCACTGAAAAGACTTCAAGCCTTGGAATGGTCAACCAGTCAAGATCAAAAAAGCACCATTTACCTAAGGACAAAGTTGGGAAAGGGATGGAAAAAGTGTGGAATGGAAATAAGATCCACAGGAGGACGTGAGCTAACTGTTGTAACGTGGAGGGGATTGTAATTACTGAGACGACACATGAGTTATTGTATGAGTTATTGAATGTAAAACTGATGATCTTCTCTGTAAACCTTCACTCAGTTCACAAGAAAAAGTTAAAAAAAAAAAGTTATGGCAGAAAACCCTGTTGGACAGTTCTACTCTACAACGTGGGGTCACTTGAGTAAGATTCGGCCCAATGACAACACAACATCATCACTTACAAATGTATCCGTTTACTAGAACACTCCAATGAAATGAAAACACTGAGATGTTAAAAAAAAAAAAAAAAAAAAATCCACACTTAGAACTTCTACTAGTGATACTCGGTAAGCATAGACATGGATAACATTTGAGCACCATTTATTCATTCATCTAACAGATTTTATTGACTGCCTGTGGCTTCAAACGGTAAGCACTAGACTGCGAACCACAAGTTCCACGGTTCGAGCCTGCCAGCCACTCCATGGGAGAAAGATGAGACTTTCTTCTCCAACAAAGATTTAAAGTCTTGAAACACTCTACTGGGTGGCAGAGTCAGAAACTGACTTGATGGTACTTAACAACAACAACAACAACTATGTAACAGGATCTCTGGGTGGTGCAAATGG